GTAAATACTTACTTATTTCTTTATAAATGTGTTTTACAGATCATATATATATATATATATATATATATATATATATAGTATAGATATATATATATATATATATATATAAATATATATATATATACAATATATATATATATATATATATATATATATATATATATATATATATATATATATATATATATATATATATATATATATATATATATATATATGTGTATATATATGTGTGTGTATATATATGCGTAAATATATATATATATATATATATATATATATATATATATATATATATGTATGTATATATATGTGTGTGTATATATATATATATATATATATATATATATATATATATATATATATATATATATATATATATATATATATATATATATATATATATATATATATATATATATATATATATATACATATATATAAAAAAGGTCATCGTGTTTCAAAATTTGCTGACTGCCATTTGACTACCAAAAAAATCATTAATAGGGGGGGGGAGTACCCCATCAATGATTTTTTTGTTAATTTAATTGGCAGACATATACCCCCATCACGCTGGCCTTATACATATACACTATAATGTGTTTATAATACACACATGTTAAAGAACAAGGAAACAATTGACAGATTTGAAAAGTTGCATGTTGTAAGAGTCAGGAAAACATGAAGATGGAAGAGAGTTTCAAAGGGTTAAAGTACAGGGAAAAAATTGGACAAGCTACATTTTTTAAAGCATGCAGAGATAGATACAGTAAAAAGTTCTGGCTTTGCTAAATGATTAGTCAAGCAAGAATGAATTTTGATTGATAGAATTAGAGATAGCTCCTTTAAGCAGCGACCATGATAGCATTTGTAGAAAAGAGAAAGAGATGCAATTTACAATGATGAAAGAGGCTCAAGCTAGACAGATAAGCAGGTCTAATTATGTTTACATTGCATTTTTGGACCTTATGTAAATAAGAAAAACCACCATCAGAAAATCAAACCCAAATATGACAACAGTATTCCATACAGTGCCAAATAAAAGATTTGTATGGGTAGAGAATGGAGTCAGGAATCACACAATGGTGAGCAGGTTAAAGAGAAGCAACTTTTGCAGATACTAACTTTGCAATTGATTGTATAAATGGTTTCCATGAGAAGTCAGAAGTGAATGATAATCTAAGAAGTTGTTATGTGGAGAACTTAGTGTAAAGATTGCCATTTATTAATACAGGAATGTTGACGGTGTTTTGGATTTTGTTTGAGTTAAAATTTAGAAGCAACTGCAAGCCTTAATATGTTACAGAGGTAAGATCAGATTTAAAATGGGCTGTCTGTTCTAACTGATCAAAAAAAAGAAGACTTTTTTGTCAAAACAGGAGTATAACGTTGAATAATCAGCAAATAGTGACACTTCAGGGCTCTATTTGTTGTCAACCAACTTCAGGTTTTCAGGGAGATCGTTAATGTAAATAAGAACAAAACAGTATTAAGGATAGAGCCTTAAGGTAACTCAGAAGTTGTTGAAAATGAAGAAAAGTGTTGACCTTCAAGTGTGACTTTAATAAAGCGGTTAAAAAGAACTCTCAAATCTCAAAAACTAACACAGATACACATTGAGTGTATCGGGTTAAATGTAGCAAGCTTACAGAGATAAAAATAATGCCAAACTTTATCATAATTTTTAGATATGTCAAGAGCAATAACCCTTGTCTTGCTATCTTCATTCAATGCATAATAAAATTTATAGTCATTGCAATTAACAAGTTAGTCGTAGACTGAGAAGTTTGATCAGAAAATCAGATTAGACATCTAAAAAGAATGCAGTCTTAAAAAGAAGGAGAGCGATAAAGAACAAGGGAAAAGTAATAAAGTAAAGAGGTGCTAAGTAGTAGAATGTTTAGAAGCTTCAAACATGAGATCTCAACAAATTAGTGAATTAAGCTAAATACAATCAAAGAATAGTACCCATCAATACAGAGATCTGAAGAAAGTACAGCCCAATTAAAATTATTCTCACAAAGAGCAAGTAAATTTGGTGAATTTTGCAAGATTCAACTGATGTAAAGTTACTTTGTAGACCAGAAATATTTGTGAAAGATATACTAAAACAGTTAGGTGATGGTGATTTTTTATGTTTAATATTTTCTGTTACTTTTTGCATGGTTTAGGTTCTAAGAGAACTAGACTCATTCATAGATAGAGCACTGTATATCAAGCAATGAGCTATGCAGTAGTCTCAGTTCTGCTAATAAACAAAAAGTTGTAACTTAAAAAACTTACTACCAGCCGGCTTCAAAACCTGTACCCTCATTAGGAAATAACAGGAAAAGTTGCATAGTCACTATCAAGGAAGCAAAAGCAAGAGAATGTGAATAGAAAATCAAGAAAATCTAACATTACCCTCTCTAAGCAGTACTTTAAAACATTGATTGGGATGATTTGTAAATGCATTAGAAAAAACATTATATCTAAAAGTGTACTAGAGATTAAGGTGAAC